AGTGCACTAAAATTTCATTTGGGGAAGACTGAAAGGCAAAATAGATAGATCCCACTTTATAATTTCGGTGATGGTTATAGTCTCGTTATAAGATATGGGTGTTTGGCGTGCGTCTCTTTAGTTCTTCTATTCACCTTCGACGATGTTCTTCATGATGAAACAATTAAATGATCGATAGGTTCTAGCCATTGTAGCCGAATGTGTTCAAGCAAGTGACAGTTGTTGGGGAGTGCGAGGGATTATAATTTTAAAATTTCGCTCTTTTACCAAAATTCAATAATACTGTTTATTTTTAAAATAAGTGCACTAAAATTTCATTTGGGGAAGACTGAAAGGCAAAATAGATAGATCCCACTTTATAATTTCGGTGATGGTTATAGTCTCGTTATAAGATATGGGTGTTTGGCGTGCGTCCTCTTTACTTCTTCTATTCACCTTCGACGATGTTCTTCATGATGAAACAATTAAATTATCGATATGTTCTAGCCATTGTAGCCGAATGTGTTCGAGCAAGTGACAGTTGTTGGGGAGTGCGAGGGATTATAATTTTAAAATTTCGCTCTTTTACCAAAATTCAATAATACTGTTTATTTTTAAAATAAAGTGCACTAAAATTTCATTTGGGAAGACTGAAAGGCAAATAGATAGATCCCACTTTATAATTTCTGTGATGGTTTTATAGTCTCGTTATAAGATATGGGTGTTTGGCGTGCGTCTCTTTACTTCTTCTATTCACCTTCGACGATGTTCTTCATGATGAAACAATTAAATGATCGATAGGTTCTAGCCATTGTAGCCGAATGTGTTCAAGCAAGTGACAGTTGTTAGGGAGTGCGAGGGATTATAATTTTAAAATTTCGCTCTTTTACCAAAATTCAATAATACTGTTTATTTTTAAAATAAAAGTGCACTAAAATTTCATTTGGGGAAGACTGAAAGGCAAAATAGATAGATCCCACTTTATAATTTCGGTGATGGTTATAGTCTCGTTATAAGATATGGGTGTTTGGCGTGCGTCTCTTTACTTCTTTTATTCACCTTCGACGATGTTCTTCATGATGAAACAATTAAATGATCGATAGGTTCTAGCCATTGTAGCCGAATGTGTTCAAGCAAGTGACAGTTGTTGGGGAGTGCGAGGGATTATAATTTTAAATTTCGCTCTTTTACCAAAATTCCAATAATACTGTTTATTTTTAAAATAAAGTGCACTAAAATTTCATTTGGGGAAGACTGAAGGCAAAAAGATAGATCCCACTTTATAATTTCGGTGATGGTTATAGTCTCGTTATAAGATATGGGTGTTTTGGCGTGCGTCTCTTTACTTCTTCTATTCACCTTCGACGATGTTCTTCATGATGAAACAATTAATTGATCGATAGGTTCTAGCCATTGTAGCCGAATGTGTTCAAGCAAGTGACAGTTGTTGTGGAGTGCGAGGATTATAATTTTAAAATTCGCTCTTTTACCAAACTTCAATAATACTGTTTATTTTTTAAAATAAAGTGCACTAAAATTTCATTTGGGGAAGACTGAAAGGCAAAAGATAGATCCCACTTTATAATTTCGGTGATGGTTATAGTCTCGTTATAAGATATGGGGTTTTGGCGTGCGTTTCTTTTACTTCTTCTATTCACCTTCGACGATGTTCTTCATGATGAAACAATTAAAATGATCGATATGTCTAGCCATTGTAGCCGAATGTGTTCAAGCAAGTGACAGTTGTTGGGGAGTGCGAGGGATTATAATTTTAAAATTTCCCTCTTTTACCAAACTTCAATAATACTGTTTTATTTTAAAAATAAAGTGCACTAAATTTTCATTTGGGGAAACTGAAAGACAAAATAGATAGATCCCACTTATAATTTCGGTGATGGTTATAGTCTCGTTATAAGATTGGGTGTTTGGCGTGCGTCTCTTTACTTCTTCTATTCACCTTCGACGATGTTCTTCATGATGAAACAATTAAATGATCGATAGGTTCTAGCCCATTGTAGCCGAATGTGTTCAAGCAAGTGACAGTTGTTGGGGAGTGCGAGGGATTATAATTTTAAAATTTCGCTCTTTTACCAAACTTCAATAATACTGTTTATTTTAAAATAAAGTGCACTAAATTTTCATTTGGGGAAACTGAAAGACAAAAAGATAGATCCCACTTATAATTTCGATGATGGTTATAGTCTCGTTATAAGATATGGGTGTTTGGCGTGCGTCTCTTTACTTCTTCTATCACCTTCGACGATGTTCTTCATGATGAAACAATTAAATGATCGATAGGTTCTAGCCATTGTAGCCGAATGTGTTCAAGCAAGTGACAGTTGTTGGGGAGTGGCGAGGATTATAATTTTTAAAATTTCGCTCTTTTACCAAAATTCAATAATACTGTTTATTTTTAAAATAAAGTGCACTAAAATTTCATTTGGGGAAGACTGAAAGGCAAAATAGATAGATCCCACTTGTAATTTCGGTGATGGTTATAGTCTCGTTATAAGATAGGGTGTTTGGCGTGTGTCTCTTTACTTCTATTCACCTTCGACGATGTTCTTCATGATGAAACAATTAAATGATCGATATGTTCTAGCCATTGTAGCCGAATGTGTTCAAGCAAGTGACAGTTGTTGGGGAGTGCGAGGGATTATAATTTTAAAATTTCGCTCTTTTACCAAACTTCAATAATTCTGTTTATTTTTAAAATAAAGTGCACTAAAATTTCATTTGGGGAAGACTGAAAGGCAAAATAGATAGATCCCACTTTATAATTTCGGTGATGGTTATAGTCTCGTTATAAGATATGGGTGTTTGGCGTGCGTCTCTTTACTTCTTCTATTCAACTTCGACGATGTTCTTCATGATGAAACAATTAAATGATCGATAGGTTCTAGCCATTGTAGCCGAATGTGTTCAAGCAAGTGACAGTTGTTGGGGAGTGCGAGGTATTATAATTTTAAAATTTCGCTCTTTTACCAAAATACAATAATACTGTTTATTTTTAAAATAAAGTGCACTAAAATTTCATTTGGGGAAGACTGAAAGGCAAAATAGATAGATCCCACTTTATAATTTCGGTGATGGTTATAGATCCCACTTTATAATTTCGGTGATGGTTATAGATCCCACTTTATAATTTCGGTGATGGTTTCGGTGATAGTCTCGTTATAAGATATGGGTGTTTGGCGTGCGTCTCTTTACTTCTTCTATTCACCCTCGACGATGTTCTTCATGATGAAACAATTAAATGATCGATAGGTTCTAGCCATTGTAGCCGAATGTGTTCAAGCAAGTGACAGTTGTTGGGGAGGGCGAGGGATTATAATTTTAAAATTTCGCTCTTTTACCAAAATTCAATAATACTGTTTATTTTTAAAATAAAGTGCACTAAAATTTCATTTGGGGAAGACTGAAAGGCAAAATATTTCCGACATTTGGCGAAGCTCATGTAATTTCATTCATGCTTGTTATGAAAGCAAGGTTTTGTTAGTTTTATGAACTTTAGGCTTTATAAAATTGGTCACGAAAACACCTCCATATGCTTAGGTTAACTTATCAATGGCTCGAAGTAATCAAGAAACCAATCTTATAATCAAATTCTATTACGTATTTATCAAAGTCCTTATAAAATCTTGTGACTTCAGCGATATCTGAATCAAATACATTTAAATAACAGCACACACCTACTATTGATAACAATTTCAGTAGCGTGAAACCTTGGTTAAAAGTAAAGGTATGTCAGAAAGATAAATTTCATTTTGTTCTTTTAAAAAAGTTAAAATTTTCTTTTCTAAAACCCATCAAAATAATACATTGACATGCAGAGAATAGAGGAATTTATTTAGTGTTGGATCTAAATTAGCACTTTTTTCAAACTCGGGGGCTATTTGTCTAAGGAAAGGGATGCCTTCGTGGAGGACGTTCGAAGGGAAACTGGCTCGTTTACAAGTTAAACATGGGGAAAACCACGAAAACGCCCGTGCAGTCAGCCCGTTCGGTTTGGTTTGGTTTGGTTTATTTGATTACGGCAAAGCCTCGAGTGCTTTCTGTCTAAGGTGAGATATGCCTTCGTGGAAGATTTTATAAGGGAAACTGGCTACTATACACGTTATACATGGGGAAAACTACGAAAACCCGCATGCATCCAACCCATTCGCCGGATTCGAACTTCGGGCCGAACTACCAGTGTTCAGCGACTTTACTGATCAGCGTCTTAACAGCCCGGCCGCTGGTGGGCCTCGTCTATAAATTCAACGGGCAGCGGTCTGATACCAACCGACAGAAATTACAACACTTCCAATTATCATCGATAGAGGATAATAATTACAGCACTTCCAGTTATCATCGATATCACTATTTTAATCCTCTCGTGAATACCTATATAGCAAGTTCTTATAATTGTTTTAAATATATCTGATATTTCTTCAATATATTGCTTCCACGATCAATTTGCTTTATCAAAGTGATCTGAAGTTTCGAAAGCTTTTGCTTTATAAAGAGGTCAAGCGGTAAGAACTATAAACGTTAGTAGTTATAGATTAGCAGCTTGGAAGCTTTAAATTGTTTTCCTTGCGTATAACGTGGAAGCAAGCCAGTTTACCTTAAAAAGTCCTCCACGAAAGTTCCTCTTCTCTTAGCCAGATAGCCCTCGTGCGCTTTGCCATAATCGAGTAAACTTAGCCAGACTGCTCTCGAGTATTTGATTACATTTAATAATTTTAAAGCTACTCTACCTTTACTCCGTAGAAAGTTCTCACCAGCGGTCGAGTGGTTAAGTTGCTGAACACTGGTAGTTCGGTTCGAGGTTCGAATCCCGCGAATGGGCTGGCTTCATGGGCGTTTTCGTGGTTTTACTCATGTGTAAGTTGTATACCAGCAATGTTCCTTTAGAAAGTCCTCCACGAAGGCATCCCTGCCCTTAGGCAGATAGCCCCTCGAGGCTTTGCCCGTAATCATATAAACCAAACCAAATGGTAGAAAGTTACTCAAGACAAATAATTCCAAATGCTTACTCTACTTGGCGACGAAACAAAACCATTCGAACCATATCGCTGTATATCCTGCAATGGAATTTTCCATAGGAGACCAGCTATTTCTTGTTCATACTTCCACTTTCTGAAAACAAAGAGACATACATCTTATATATTTATTTAATGCATAAATTAGTGAAAACATTTATAAAACAATAATTGCTTATCCGAGAGAAAAGAATTTCTGCGAATTACGACCAACTTCGCGCAATTAAAATAGAAGAAACTGCACGCGCTAATTTTTGTTTTTTTGTCGATTAAGAGTACGATTTGTTTAACTCTTTGTAGGGCGGTGGTACCTACAGTAACCACCTTTTCTACTGAACGTCTTACTCACTCGTGTGAGTGTTTTTCAAGACTGACTGTTTCTAAATATCCCTTGTAGCTCACTAGTGGCAATCAAGAAACATAAGCCAATCAAGAAACATAAGTTGATACAGCAATTCGTCTTCAAGAAAATAAGCATCAGCCATGGAAGACAACAACCACGACGATGTGCACTATGGCAGCACCAAGAATAAGGCTGTAAGAACAGTGTGGGAATGCAGCACACGCAAAGTTGCACTCTGCTTGAAAAAGAAAAACTGTTTCCATGAGTACCATAGAGACTGATTTGTAGGGATGTGTTTGTTCTGTGGGCGGTGGTCGCTGACACTAACCACCAGAAGTGGTCATTTTTTCACGCGTCTTGGACAAAATATGTGCAATTGTCGTAAATAATTTTATTGTAACACCCGATAAAGTAACTAAAACAAGAGCTTTGCTGGAAAAGTTAATTGCCTTTTCCTGTCCCTCAAAAAGTTAAACGTGTAGACATATTTAGCCTATAAATAAAAGGGGAAAAGGTAATGAGTCGGGCAGACATCAAAATCCATAAACCGCTGAATTTCTCAATGGGAAATAAGAACGTCTTCGGGTGTAGGATCGCTTTTAGGTGGGGCAAAAATAATTAGAATATGAAAACATAGTATACATATCAAGTAGCAATAGACTTCACTTGCAAACTAGAGTAAATTTCAGGACAGATGAGTAATACTTCAGATAACATAAAAGATCCACACAATTCCTCCTTCTGAAACTTTCATACATGTTTTGCTCTACTACTGGAACTTTTGCATAACCTATCCATAAACTAATTAACTTCGCAAAGTTGCTTGTTAAAAGTTAAACAGATATAGTGTGTCAATTCTGCTTTTACTTTTGGTATCTACTTAATTGTTATCTACAATTCTGCTCTTTCAATATTATTTCTGTGGTTTTAACAACTTAAAATCATGAATACATCCAAAAAGTTTTCTCTCGTTTTCTAAGCCCCAACATTAGCAGCAGGGACTGACTAAGATTTGGAATATTAGAAGTTCCATTTGGGTTCGAACCCAGGCGAATGGTCATTGGTCAGACTAATATGGGTGATTATGGTGTTTTCCCTATGTGTAACGTGAATTTGAGCCAGTTTGCGTTAGAAAGCCTTCCATGAAGACATTCCCGCCTTTAATTAAGATAAAATAACACGCCCAACAGGTATTAACATAATTCTGTTGTCATTTCTTTCTTACCATCATTTAGCTATAAAGTGGCACGTATTTTAGATATTTAACTTTCGGGTCGTTTATTCTCCTATCAATAAAATCCCGAGATTCCCATTCCGGATATGAATTTCTGCGGTATTTACAGGATTCCTTGCCAGTGGGGCATAATTTACATTGGTCAAATTAAGAGAGCCTTAAAATTTTACGTTAAGGAACATGAGGCATATGTTAGAAAAAAGAAAACACAGAAGTCCTCTGTTGCCCAGCATTGTTGGTCCAAAAATCACACTTTCAACTTTTCTGCTTCCAAAATTATTCAAAAAACATCTTCCATTGGTGAATTGGATTTTCTAGAAGCATTTCACATTAAAAAAATCTTTCTGTTCTAGTTAACGACCCGAATTCCAATTCACCTTTGCCTTCAGCCTTTAAGGAAATTATCTTATAGTTCTCGTTTCATCAATAGATGGCGCTAGCAGCTTAACTCCTGTCCAGCCATTGTTGTCTTATCATATCTAATCGCTATATTTTATCTCGTTCACTTGCGCTTTGGCAGCTGAGGATGATGGTTGGTTAAAAATATAGAAACTAGTCCTGTCAAAATTTGCAAATATAACGCTGATTTTTGTTGTTTGACTTCTAAATTAATTCCTACCTTTAGCCAAATAGTCCTCAAGTGTTTTGCCATACTCAAATAACTCATTATTTTCTGTTGTGAAGTTTAACGATTTATGAATTTTTGATACAGTAATTGGGATTTTGATACTATTCAGCAGTAATCTTTTATTTATAGGCTAGCCATATCTATACCATATAAGCAAATCTAAACATACGCTGACAAGTAATATCAATTTGCTTTTTTAATTCTTTTATGGTGTCTAAATTATGCAGCTTTTGCAGGGTTCATGTCTCATTACTTTTGTTAAGAACTTTACAGGATGGTTATAATTAAAGTTCTACTTTAAAATGGTCATAAAAGGAAAACTACCGGACTAAATCTTATCAAACTTGGTAATCGTATAATGGAGGTTATAGGAATTTATATCTCGTGTAAAAAAAAAAGTTTAAAACTCACCACCAGGGGGGGAATAGAGCTGTATACAATATTGTTAAACGAAATAAGGGTCGGAATCTAACTTAACCTTTTATTACACGCGTTTAACATGCTGTATAACCTAAACATTGACCTAAACAAAATTATCATTCAAAGGCGATGAAAGTCGAGTGCGCCATCCGTCTGTCGGAGAAATGCGTCCGTGAAAACCACAAATTAGCGACGAGAAAATGTGAAATCGCAAATCACTCGCAAAAGGGTGCCCATTCCGGAAATAAATTTTATTACAGATCGCTAATTTGTAATTTTTGAAGTCTGAATTCGGCCCTAAGACATGAAGATATCGGTTTAAAACGTTTTTAATAGTTTCTAAAACGAAACTGTTTGTCGAGTGAGGCAAAACCACGATGGCTTGTAACAGGCGTACGGCAGGAAGAAGCAAATGATTTATGCAAATTAATCTGGCGAAATTGAAAGATGCGATACACCGACATGTCCGTAACATTCCTCCTGATATGCTAAGAGCTGCTGTTGAGAATGCAGTAATGCGATTAACATGCTTTCGGAAATAGTGGACGCCACAATTGAACACGCTTTGTAAACGATTTTTCAAAAACGATTAAACACAGTTTGAACTGATGCCTTCATGCCATAGTTCTTTTAACGACATTGCGTAGTTCTTTACAGTTATAGTTCTTTTAACGACATTGTGCCATTTGCTCCCTGGTGGCTAGTTTTTGAACTTTGTTTTGCCGAAAACAAATTCCTATGATTTCCTTTACAAGATTACCAAGTTTGATAATTTTTGGTCCAGTAGTTTTCCTTTTATGAGCATTTAATTATAACCACCCTGTATATTGGAAGTGCTTTAAAATAAATTTAATTTTTGCAGATACTTAATGACAGATATTCAAACGCAGACCGTAAAAATGTGTCAACAGAGTGAGAGAGGACATGGTGAGTTAAAATATGACCTATCAAAATCGTCTTCCTGTTTTATCACAACATACGCTTTGTCATTTTTATGGGTACGTTGTTACGTTTATGGCAAAGGGATTAAGTTTCTGTCGAAATGGCACACAGCAGAACGCTAAAGGTGAGAAGAGAATAACTGAAAGAGCATAAATTCTCACTTGCAGTCAAGGTCATAAAACTGTTCTCGTAAGAGAGTGACAAATGTTAAAAGGCAGTAAAAACATAAAAAAAAAAAAAAAAAAAAAAAAAAAAAAAAAAAAGGAAACATGTAACAAGTTCAGAAATACAATTAATTTTGTATTTCTAACTCTTTCAATTTAATAAATGCATTTCTAACCTCAGATAAAATAAATGCATTAAAGATAAAAAGTAATAAATCTCTACATATAATAAAAGAAAAAGTTTGTCAGTGTGTCTTTAGTTCTTGCTGCGCGTAAGCTAATAGACCCGGGTCTACAAAGTTTGGTACACAGGTGCATCTAGACAAAAGCCAGTGCACCTCGAAGTGATTTTTTAAAAATTCAAATCGGATTTTTTAAAATTTTATCTTTTCCGATGGAATCGCATCATTTTGAATAGTTTCATTCTTTTAGAAATGTGGTTTCGGTAACAGTTTTTCACTCAATGCTTTGTATACTGGATTGCTGACTGTTGAATATATGAGATAAAATATTTATTGCTTATTTCACTGCTTTTAAGATACTGAAAAGTTTAATATGATTCTTTCTGCTATGGGAAGTTGGTTACTTTATTCATTAGGATAAATAATATATATACTAAGGGCTATTGCTTATTTCATTGTAATTTTTTTAATATGCGATACATTTTTGTTGATTTTTTTTTTCTTTTTTACTTCCTTGTACGAAGTAAAAAGGAAGTATTGTAACCGTGAAAAGTTTCAGGCATCATATTTCAACGAAAATATGCATTTTGACCGCTATCGAATGCAATTTAACATGTCATTGCGTGACATCTGTACGTAAGGACAGAATAAAAGAGGCCTTTCCTCCAAAAAATTATAAAACTGATTTAAAATGAATTCTGAAGAGAATTTTTCGTGGCCTCTGTATGTACGTATCTTGCATAACTCAAAAACGAGTAGCCTCAGAACGTTGAAATTTGTATATAGGACTGCAATAAGATGTAGATGTGCACCTCATCTTTTGGTTGCAATCGGCCGCACTAAACGTATATATGTAATATATTCAGGAGCAGGAATTTTGATGGCGTAGAAGTGTTGATCCATAATGTCTAGGAAATTGGAGGCGAATGCAGATTAAATCTTCAGTTCTATTTTCAGTAACATGTTGCGGCTACACACAAGTCAGCACATTAAATGTGCTTGTTAAAAAAGGTTTACATTTTTTATATATTTGCAGCAAAAAAGAAGCAGCAGACAGACTGCAGTCCAGCTAAGGCAAAGCGTAGAAAGAAGTGGTAATCTTCAGGATAAAAATCTAAAATCAAACTGCGTTATTTTGGTTCTCAAACATTTTGATTGGAAGTTATATTGCTGTAATATTATTATTGAGCTTGAGTTTTAGTTCAGTTACATCATCAGAATTACGTAAGAGTCAGATGACAGAGTTTTCTCGAAAACGCAGGGAAATAGATGTTGCTATTTAGAATACAGAAAAATTCATTTACGCTCTAATTAATCTTTTCATATTCTTTATTTTTTAAATATATATATATTAATTGTTACCCGGCTCAGTGATCTCAGTCTCTATACTTTGGTATTTTTGTAAATTGTGTATTTGTTGCTAAAAAAAATGATTGAATTATGTTGTTCTTATCTTCCGGTTAAGATTTTTATGCGTTTAGTAAGTTTGCATGTAATATTTTTAGAGTTATTAACAATTTAAAAGTTGTTAAAGTGCGGCTAAGCCTAATAATTTTTTAATGGCGGCCATTGCTTGTTTACATTTGAAATAGCAGACTAGTGGATTTGTTGCCAATCTAGAGAAACTTAGCTTCGCAACAACAAAGATAACGCCTTCATTTATTATTGCGAATTAAATCATGCTTAATCCTTTCTGGAATTTTTTCGAGGAAATAAGTGTTTAAGATTTACTTCGTAATTTTTAATATAGATATTTTGAGTTTTTATGTATTTTTGCCTTCTCGCGAAGTGAGAACTGAATTAATTAAATGAGAAATACTCAATCGTCTGTGAACAACTGTTTCTGTTTTGTTTTGTTTGCTTGATTTCTTTTATACATAGTTCTAGCTTTATTATAGTACTATTTGAATAGAACATGTGGCAAACGATTAGATAATTCTTTAAATGATATAAATTTTGTGCATTCTGAGTTATAATATGAACGAAATATAATACTGTTAAGTAAACCTAGCGCCAGAGTGTCGCTATGGTAAACAAAGTGAATTTTAAAGAATGCATTTATTCTATTGTGGTTTATGCGCTGTCGGCGAAGTAGGTTTAATTCAATCTAATAAGTTTAAATGAAATGCAAAAAAAAATGCGTATAATTTAATATTCCGTACAAGGAAGTCATGTGGTGTACACATCAGATTTTTTTTTGATAAAGTTTTTCTGCAGAGTAAAATTCTGTGCAGGTCTTAAATTTAATGTTTTTTAATGTTTGGTGTTTCCTTTAGGCATTTTTACGATACACTTAACAGCCACACAAAGGCTAGTTTATAATATTTTGTTCTAATGAAATTAATGCATTAAACAAAAGATTTAAAAAATACTACAAATTTAAAATACTCAAATGACATTTTTAAGGTAATTTAGTTTAAAAAAAAAAAAAAAAAAAAAAAAAAAAAAGGAATAAAGCTAATCTGCTAAATGGAATAGAGTAGCGATTTTCAACCAATGTTACGCGTATCACTGGTGGTAAGCAAGAGAAAAAGAAGAAACAAAGTAATTTTACAATTAAATCCAAAACTCTCCCGAAGAAAAAGAATAATTGAGAGAATTATTATGTGATCGAACTCTTTCAAAAATAACACATTTGTTAACATTTGGCTGAACCGGAAAAAGAATTTAAACGCATTTAAAAAAAAAAGCTATAAAATTTTTATTGCTTTTTTGGACAATCTATTTGTGTGAGAAAGAATTTCCTTCCATGTTATATTTTAAAAATAAACACAGAACAAATTTAAAAGTGACTCCTAATTTACGGTTAAAGCTCAGTAAAATAAGACCAGACGTACAGAAATTGATCTCGCTTAAGCAGCCCCAAATTTCACTTTAAATTTTACAACTATTTACACTAAATTACACACATAATTAGATACTTACGGAAAATTCCGTCGACCGTTTTTCCTATAAAAGAAAAGACGCCAAACTACGCGATTTTTCGCCAAAAATGGAAAAGTCTTTTTCAAACAGGCTGGGTGTGTGTAACCTTGGATTACACGCGTTCGTTATTATTCTTCAGTAAAGACTCCTTTTTTTCTCCCTCTATCACGCATTTTCGGGGAAACAAAATGATTAAAAATTGGGACTTGCTTGCTGCATAAGAATACTGATTTTTCATTATTATTTGAGGTGAAAAATAATATCTCGCGAGACTTATATTTCCCCGCGAAAATTAAAACCTAGCGAAAATAATTGCTTTTATAGTACACCTCCTTATTAAAAAACTAGAATGCCCGGCGGTCATGCGAAATGACCGCTGTTCTAGATATTATAAATTGTAATTAAAATTATTTGTGCAAAGGTGTCTGCTAATTTAAACTGAATTACCCAGGGCAGGCAGCGAGGACGCCCCTTTGCTTACTGCCAATACCTTCTTAAAGGTTACTGTTTAAGAAGGTGTAGTTACTGCCCCACGGGGTTTCCCCCTTCTACTTGCTTAATTGCCTAAGGTAGAGTACAATGAAGGAAACCACTAGGGCTACACTTCTTAAGAGCCCACCGCTAGCTCAGTCAATAAAGGTGATTTAAATAATGAAATGTTAATTCACATGTCAAAGATCTCTTTGAACACTTTTCATTTCTGTGTACATTTCTTGTGTAGATCTTTTTATCATTTTTAAGCTCGCCTTGCAGAGGACCATCAATTTTACGTCCGTTCTTTCAAGAATTCCTGAACAGGCAATATAAAGTTGACCGTGTTCAAATTCAGGCTCAAGTAAAGAATTGCCAACACGCTTAAGCTTTTTGTCTCCTGAGACTTATTGATGGTCATAACAAAGGCAAGTTTTATAGGAAAAATACATGTCTACATCTCAATTGAAACGGCAATCCCTGCGCCGTGGCAACTTCACCCCATTGGCTAGTAGGACAGTTACGCAAGCAACCAACAAACTATCGGCGACAAATAGATACTTAAGCCGCATATATATATGTGGGTTGAAGTAACATCATATTCTTCCGAAATGGCTCGCCTCCCGGGCTTAGCGAAGCACACCGTTGAATTCTGCAGGTCCATGGCACGCCATTTTGACCATTCGCGTCTTCGTGGGACTTTATTTAGCCGATATATTAATTAAAAACTAATTTCCCCCCTACGTTTTCCCTACATTTTGCACTTTCTTTCTTGGGTTTTCGCTATTGGAGGGAGTTGGCTACGTGTCAAATTCTTTTTTCTCGAATATCTATGGAACGGCGCCGAGTTGAAATTCGAGACGCGTATCCTCGCATTACAAAAAATTCTCCGAATCCATCGATACCGTTCTAATCTTCGTACTATGTTTCGTAATATGTTTCTCGCACTGTGATAAAACAACGCTACCTAGAGCTATCCAGTTTTGAATAAACGTTTTCACTCGAATATGTGCATCTGGAAGCGCAAATTTGGAATTATTTATATTATCTATTTCATATATTGTAAACCTTTAACGAATTTTTGATTAAAAAACTCAACATTTTCAAATCGAGCAATGGCAACACTGTACGAAAAAAAAACAACACTTTCATCTTCAGCGTGCGAGACTTTCTATCGGACATTTTAAAGATAGGCTCATTTTAAAATTATTTTGCGATATTGCTGTTGAGAGGAATTTTATGGTTTAAGTGCGAAAAACATGATATTTAATGGTTTGGTTTATTTAATTACGGCAATTCACACTAGGGCTATCTGCCTAAAGGGGAGGGCCTTCGTGGAAGACTTTCTAAGGAAAACCGGCTTGTATACACGTTACACATGGGGAAAACCACGAAAACGCCCATGCAGCCAGCCCGTTCGCGGGATTTGAACCTCGGACCAAACTACCAGTGTTCAGCGACTTTACCGCTCGGCCACTGGTGAGCACTGATATTTAATGAATAAAGGTAATACACAAAAAGTTAAAAAAACGCCCCTTTCGGCGTAATGTGAAATCTGAAAGTTTTCAGATTTTATTTTTTGTTTTTAATAAAGAATTTACTGGTTATAGCGGGGTATGGGTTTCTAATCGTGGTTAGGTTTTAGAAATAAAGGTTAGGTTTCAGAAATGCTGGTTACAACGAAGTGCACATCAGGTCATCAGGTGATATTAGCTAGCGAGACGCTGTTCGGCCGCGTGTGATTTACATTTTTCGGAAATACTTTTAGCTCGCTATATAAAAAGCTTACGTCTACTATAAATTTATATTCTTCACAGTTGGAGTTCCAACATCTCTACATTAATAGATACTGATTTCAGAATTTACTGATATCGGGAAAATAATTCTGCTCGCGTCAGAATGACAAAATGTATTTCTCAGTTGTAGACTTGCGAGAAAATAAACTGAAAATATTAAATTAAAAAATATCAGTTCCGCACAGCAACAACAAAGAAACTGATCGAACTTACTTGTACATTATCCAGCACATTACGGATAACACCAAAAGTGTAAAAAATAGAACTCCGGATATGATTTCACGAATGAGACCTGAAAGAGAAAACAAGCAATGTTACTCTAAGTAGTATTATAAACACACTTTACAAGCAGTTCGCTATAGTCCAACTACAACTCCAATTATTTCATTTTACACACAATCATTAAAGTATAAAGACTGCGTATAAATCCTATGCAGTTAACACACATTGCTGTTGTAAAAGATAACGCCTCAACATAAAATTTATTAGCGACAAAATTCAAATTCTTCCTAGAGAAAAGTTTCGCTCGAGTCAGAGCTGTCTAAATTAGTACATTGAAATTTAAATAATCTTAATGAAGAGAACGGCTGCACTGTTTCCTGTATGTTTTGTTTAAGATTTGCTTAGATCTTCAAAGAAAAGATTATATTCGCAACTGACATTATTTTTAGTAAGCTATTATTTATTTATTTTAAATGTCTGCAGCTCTATTCCTTTGACTTAAATTGCTTTCGCTAATGCTAGGATTATTATTTTGCTGTGACATACTTTACGTTTAGAATTAACAAAGTAAGAACTTTGAGTCTTTTAATACTTAGTTTTTAATGAAGTGGAGTTTCTGATTTCAGTAGGAAGCTGCCACACGTAGAATATTTCCGCCTTCTGTGTAGCTGAAGTAAATGAATACAAAATCAACAGTTTTCCAAATGAATATTTGCAGAAGAGCTACTTATTTTTTTTCTTTTATTTTAAAGCTATTTTTACTTCCTTGTACAAAGTAAAGGAAGTATTATTGGTAATCGCAAAAAATTTAACGTATCATATCTCGATGGAAATATCCATTTTGAACGCTCCCGAGTCCAGTTGGACAATTTTTTTTTTGCGTGACATCTTTATGTAAGGACAGATAAAAGGACTCTTTTATGCAAAGTAGGTTGAAAAACGGATTTTAAATGGATCCAAAAGGAATGTTTTCCGTGACGTCTGTACATACGTATGTACATACTCACAACTCAAAAACAATTAGTCGTAGAACCTTTAAATTTTACATATGATACTGCTATAGTATCTACATGTGCAACTGCCTGTTTTGTTGCAATTGGCAGCAAGATATGTGAGCGTCTCTCTCTATATATACAGGGTGATCAAAAAGTCAGTATAAATTTGAAAACTTAATAAATCACGGATTAATGTAGATAGAGAGGTAAAAATTGACACACATACTTAGAATGACATGGGGTTTTATTAGAAAAGCAATAATTAGAAAAGCAATAATCTGATCAGAAAAGCAATAATTAGCATAACAAATTAAGACAAAGCAAAGATGATGTTCTTTACAGAAAATGCTCAATATGTTCACCATCATTCCTCAACAATAGATGTAGTCGAGGAATAATGTTGTGAACAGCACTGTAAAGCATGTCCGGAGTTATGGTGAGGCACTGGCGTCGGATGTTGTCTTTCAGCATCCCTAGAGATGTTGGTCGATCACGATACACTTGCGACTTCAGGTAACCCCAAAGCCAATAATCGCACGGACTGAGGTCTGGAGACCTGGGAGGCCAGGCATGACAAAAGTGGCGGCTGAGCACACGATCATCACCAAACGACGCGCGCAAGAGAACTTTCACGCGTCTAGCAATATGGAGTGGAGCGCCATTCTGCATAAAAATCGTATGTTCCGCAGGTGTTTATCAGCCAGGCTGGGGACGATGCGATTCTGTAACATATCGGCGTACCTCTCACCCGTCACGGTAGCAGTTACAAAACCAGAATCACGCATTTCCTCGAAGAAAAAAGGCCCGATAACAGTAGATGCGGTAAATCCAACCCCTACCGTGAATTTTTCGTCGTGCAATGGAGTTTCCACGACAGTTTTAATAAAACCCTATGTCATTCTAAGTATGTGTGTCAATTTTTACCTCTCTATCTACATTATTCCGTGATTTATTAAGTTTTCAAATTTATACTGACTTTTTGATCACCCGGTATATAACTTCGCCTTTACCCGGGTTGAAAGTCTTTATACGACCTTTATATTCGGGATCGTTGGTTGCAGTCATATACAATGCTGGAAAATTGTTAAGCACCGATCTGAAATTGCAATGTACTACAACATTAAGCGGAGTTCGAGGGTAATCAGGATAAAGTACATTTGCCACACTGTTGGGATATTAGAATAAAGGGCATTAATGGTTCAGGGAAATGCAGAAAAATGTGAAACATTCAAAAGTAAAAAAGTGTTCTCTTTTGATGCTGTTGGTTGGTTGGTTGATTTTTTAAATGGCACAAAACCTAGAGAGTTATTATGCGCCAGACAAATGGTGAGTAAAATTCGAGATGTATAAACACACTGTATCAAGTGAATTGATGAAATTAACCTGAAATACTGATGAAGGCATGGAGAAATGACTTTAAAATGTCCAGGCAGAAATGATTGAAAACTGCTCTGGCAATAGGTAGAGCAGGATAAAATGGAGTTCAAATGATATGTAAAAAGAGATGTCTTTTAAAAAACTTATGAGGTTGATATGAGGGTTTCTTCCAATGAGATCTGTTAAGTTAACATTTGTAGAGTGATAATAAAATTCACGTTTTTGACTAAAAGCAGGATAGAGGTTAAAATGTGATTGACTGAAAGGGGAACGTTGCAAGTGCCACAAATAGGCTCATTATCTCTTTTCATGAGGTACTGATGTGTCAGTCTGCAATGACCAATTCGTAAACGAATCAGTAGTACATCCTCCTTCCAATTCCCTCTCGACTCCCAGTTCTCCAAATTGGGTTTTACCTGCCTTAACTTGTTCAGAATTTGGCATTCCCAGAATTCTTGCCACTTTGATGCTGTGCACGCAGAAATAGAAAAAACAAAATGCATAGAAACTTTTGAGAAAGGTGTCAGTACGAGAAGTGGTCACCGTGGATCGCGATGCTACTTTCTATACGTCATTTATACTTTGCACAACATTATCCAGTAGCTGTTGATGTACTGATTCCAGTTCCCTGTCAGTGCACGGATGACTGTCGTGTCCGCTGGAGGATATTTTTGACCAGAAATTCCGCCTTCGCAGAGCATTCGAACATTTTCAATGGGATTTAGATCTGGAGAACATGCTGGTTATAAAGGCATTGGAAATTCTCGCTGTGCAGACAATCCTGAAAAGCCATGCTGCGTTGCAGTTCGATGCCATCTGCGTTGCAGATCATGAAAAGAAATTAATCACCAAAAGTACCACGGAAAAAGCGAATACGAGGCAGTAAAATTTCATCAATGTATTGCTGACTGGTCATACTCCCAGCTGTAACCACATGTAAAGGGTGTGCGGCTCTTGATCATAATGCCGGCCGATACCATGATACTGCATCTCAGATACCGGACCCTTTCCTCGACATTTTCTGGACCATAAGTAATACCACTCTCATTCCGATTCAGTTGGCATCTACATACTGAACCTACCTCTCATTATTTGAGAATAGCACGCAAGCACTTTTCTATTCAGCCGAACTGCGACGCTCATGACAATATTGTAAATGGACGGTAAAGTGCTGTGTGGACAATGGAACACACACAGAACAGGTCTGCGGGCATTAAGTCCTACTTCTCCCGTCTCTTCAACGTAGCTGCCAAATTCGCCATTGTCACCAGTATTTTCGTAAACTTTATCACATTAGAATGGCAAAAATGGAATAAGGTTTGATATACTAGTTTTCTTAATAGCCTGGCTATTTTAAGTGTGACTTTGTTTTCAGGCTGATCATCAGCGCTACATTCTTTAGTTACCTCTTCCTTGAATACTGATTAATTAAATGGAAAAATTGCAATAGCTCTATATTGAAAGCTATACTGACATCAACATGTTTAAAACAGCATGGGACAAGTTGAGCTGTAGGGCATTACGCTTGAAGTTTCGTTTCATTAAGCATTATTATTATTTCCTTTTATTACTTTTGCGAGAGCTATCTGCCTAAGGAAAAAAGATGCTTTCCTAGAGGGCATCCTAGACTAATATTAGGTTATTAGATGTAGTCATTTATAAGCCGCCAACAACAACATAAACATGGACAAAATTTGTTTAATTATTTTCTCACATTCTATCAGACGTCACATTGTGGAGAGCCGTCTGATTATAAAAATTATATTATTACAAACACTTCAGTGTAAATTAGAAGTTTCGTACACTATAGGAAACAGTGTTTCAATAAGTTATAAGAATTAATATTTTAAACTAGCGGAAGTACCCGATGACAGTTAAGTTAGATTGAGAGTAATGCATCTAACAACGGAGAGAACGATACCACTGTAATAATCGTCTCTAATAGAATCGTCTCTAATAGCGATGCAAAAATACGATTCATAGTCACACATGTTTCAGTCTCATGCGATATGGAACGCACTTAAAAAATTTCGATAGAAAAGTCAGCTAATTCTCTCTCATTATATCAGCAACAATGGCGTGCAGATTTGAATGATTTCCGTCTTGCTAATCAAATGATCGTAAAAGCTCCAGTTCCATCCAATATTTCACCTATATTCAATTTTAATCAATTAAATGTGGCAAAAAATAGATGAGTTTTGATCAATATCGAACAAACAAACACAAATTATTCTTTACACACACACACATATATATATATAGAAAGAGATTTCGTAAAAATTACAAATTTTTTATTAACAAAGTCTACGCTTTGAAAGCGAGCAGCAGCAACACTTTTCGAAATAACGCTTTTTTATCTGAAATGGGAGAGACTGTTGCCACTCGGAAAAATGAGTGCGAAAATTAATGTTTTCGGAGTTTTTAATTAATATCTCCGCTGAATAAAGTCGTACGCAGTCGAAATGGCTTCCATGAATTTTTGGAATTGGGAGTAATGTATTGAATGTTTGGCAATGCTGTTTTTATTTCATTGTAAAACTTAGGAATTTTTATATTAACAAACTCTACGATTTGAAAGCGAGCAGTGGCAACACTTCTCGAAATAAATTTTCATCTCCAGCTTGCGAGACTGTTGCCACTCGGAAAAAAGAGGACGAAAATAATCGTTTTTCCGAGTTTTTAATTAATATCTCTGAATATAGCTACTTTTTTTGGAAAAAACTGAACTTGAACCTTTTCCAGAACCCAGAAAAGAATTGTAGAAAGTTTGGTGACGATAGGTTAAAATAGTGACTAAGTTATTAGCGAACAAAAAAAAGCAGAGTTTCTTCTTTATATATATAGATAATATTCAGGCTGTTATTTATTTTTTTACTTTCATGTCATTAACGTACTGCGACTACTACAGGATCATTATTGCTATTGTAAAACATTTTATATCCAGGATTTTTGTTTCGTTTTTTCGTTGTTGAAATATTTTGTTCACGGTGGCTTCAACATCATCATCTTTAAATATATATTGCTTTTGAATGGCCAGATTTAGGATGAAAGAATATTGTATTGTAAATAATACTGTATTTGAAAAGAATATCGTATACCTGGCGGGTCGATGCAGCCACTACCATCAAAACCACAGGGAGGTTCATCTAAAGGAGCAACCCAGTTATTATCTGCATCCAACAAGGTAAATATCTGAAATTAATGCATGCATATTAGTACACATCTGAGAACGTTACGTAAAATCCTCAAAAATCGAAAACAATTAAGACTAGTTCAGAAAATAACTATTCATGGTTTTATTTCTCATAGTTATAATTATATACACAAATATGGTTACAATCCCTCCCTTTCCGTGTAGTGCCCAAGGGCGGAGAACGTAATAAGCAAAAAAAATATGGTTACAGATAAAAATCTCTTTTTTATAGTAACGCATTTCAGAAATAGATGATAATCATGCACATAAATAATTATACGTTACCAACAAATAGAACAAATAGAATGCAACAAGAAATACATATTATCAGAAATTCACAGTTTTATATCAAATTACATAGAAGATTAAGTATAATGTTTTGCTAGATCTTTTGTCTGCAGAATGTAACTCAAATTGTATTTTAGGTGGTTTACAATTCAGTTTACAACTGGTATTGCAGAATGTATGAGATAACATGTAAATGTTGTCTAGTGAATCATTATTTTTACATAAATAGTTATACATATTTTGCACTGCAAATCAGAACACATATATATTATTCGCTACAGTAATATACATTGGCTTCCAAAAGTTAAGCTCGTGACGGTAAAATCAATCAAAATTTCCATTTTGATTAGTAAAGTTTGATTCCATTTTGAAAGTAGAGCTTTGATTGAAACTAAATTTCACATTAACATAGCTAATGTCTTTATCCATGAAATAAAACAAGCATTATACATTACAATCGGAATGCCTTCGTGGTGTATGGTAGCACACTCGGCGCGTAATCGAGAGGTCCACGTTCGAGTCCTGGTGACGGGATTGCTTATTTTTCGTAAATGCTCTTTCAAAAAAAAAAAAAAAAAAAAAAAAAAAAACCTAATGACTCTACAGTGGCGCCCGAACTAAAACGTGGTGAACAATAATTTGTCACCACCACGAATTGGCGATTGGGACCCTTCATCACCAGTCGCCCTTTAAAAGAAGAGTATATAAGGTATTTTCTCCCTCCTTCCAGTCTGCCTCTCAGGTGTAACGGTTAGCACACTCGGCATGTATTCGAGAGGTTCAGATTCGAGTCCTGGCGAGGTAATTGCTCATTTTTCACGTCTCCTGCTTCAAACATCCTAATGATTCTACGGTGGCGCCCGAACTAAAAGGTCACCACCAGAATTTGGCGATTGGATTCCCTGATCCCAGTCACCCTTTAAAAAGGAGAGTCTATAAAGCAGTTTCTCCCTTCTTTCTGCATGCCACCGTGGTGTAACGGTAGCACAGTCGGCGCGTATTCGAGAGATCTAGGTTCGAGTCCTGGCAAAGGTATAGCTCTTTTTTCATGTCTTCTTCTTCAGAATAACCTAATGACTCTAGAAGATAAAGATGAAAACAATATAATTTAATAATTTACATGAACTACACGGTGACGACACATTTGGGACGTTAACAAATTGACGCTTAAAGGTAAAAACAAATAAACAGTCTTTCATTAATAATGGATATAACCATCTCAGACATCCACACAAACTTCACAGAGATTGCGCATGGTTTTAAAGAAGTGATCAGCCATCGCGTATCCCAAGAGTAGCCATTCCTTATTAGAGCACTTAGAGACTGGTTAGAGACCTCCATTAGAGACTGGTTATTAGTTACTTCATTAGGGACTGGTTATAAGTTCATTAGAGATTGGTTAGAGCTCGGGCACTTAGAGATCTCTATTAGAGAGTGGTTGGAGGAGAAAACGTGTAGCGTCAGCACGCACGAAGGCATCTCAAAGATTTTCAGTAGTTCTCAAAGATTTTTACCGAGTTATCCTAAACCATAATTTCATCTCGTTGGTTGTTTGAACATAATTTTCTGTAATGAATGATGCCTTTTCTTTGAAAAAATTCTAATGCAGACTTTTTGTCAATGTGCAATTCCCAAATTGTTAAATCCATAGCGTTATGAAAAAAGGATTTACAAATTAAACTAATATTTCAATGGCGTCTTAAGAAATATAGAACTATCCAGACTTATTTAATTTGAAATCAGCGCGTATGAAAGATTTCGCGCGCTGTTAAGTGGGCGCGTATGCTAGATTTGGCGCTTTTGCGCATACATTTTCGTTGCAATTTTTTTACGGTTTTCAACACGGAATAGTACCGATTATTTTTACAAACGTTTCTTAAACAGCCTCTTATTTAAAGATAGAGATACATTTTTAATAGCTGACGCCTGACGTTTCCCAGTTTCTTTGTAAATTTTGTGCTCAGAAGATGCAATTCAAAAGGGGAAAATCTACTAATAACTCAGGGACCGTAGAAGAATGCTGAAATTTAAGAAATATTATTATGTTCAATAGTTGATTTTTACCTTCCATTAACCTATATAGACAGGTAAATGAAGTTATGTTTTCGGCCCAAAAATTCAAAAGTGAATTTTTAGTGACTAAATACGAATTAGAGCTTCCATAAAATAAAATAATAATGGTTAATTAATTTAGTTAATTAATTATAAAATAGTTAATTATTATTAAATAGTTAAATTATTATAAAATAATAATAGTTAATTAATTAAATCTGTTAAAATAAATAAAAGGGGGTTAGCCCATAAGAGCTATTATTTTCGTTTTGGCATTTTGCTTTGATTCACTTTTCAAACTTTTGCCACCAACTATTACAGCACTGTATTATAATTAAAGAAATTAAATAATGAAGAAGCTACATAAATGTTTGTATGTTTCTCGCATTGTGATAAAACAACGGAACCATCAAATTTTGAATAACGTAATCCTCCAGCGAATACGGGCATCTGGAAGCCCAATTTGGAATTTGTTTTATTATCTGTTTCATATTTTGTCAGACATTAAACAATTTTTGATTAAGGTGCTCAACGATTTCAAAGCGAGGAATGGCAACACTCTACGAAAAGAATGATTTTTATTTCCAGCGCGCGAGACTGGCGGATCGGAGATTCTGAAGATACGCTCATTTTGAAATTAATTTGCGACATTGCTGTTGAACTGAATTTTACGGTTTAAGTGCAAAGAACACGATATTTAGTAAATAAATGTAACACACAACGTTAAGAAAACGCCCCTTTGGACGTAATTTAAAATCTGAGAACTTTCAGACTTTTCTTCTTTTAAAAATGACGTTTGTCCATCTGTGTGTTTGGGACGACTTTTTCCTCTACGTTAACTCTTATAACGAAACCTCCAAAAATTTATATTTTCCGTTTTTTGGGCTTCCTACATTCACATAAAGAAGAGATTAGATTTTGGGTAAAACCAGACAATCGAAAGCAATACTTTACAGGAAGCCCATAAAACAGTCTTTAAAAGCACAACCGGAAGTATTTATTTTTATACACTCTGTACGTAATAGGTATTTAGTAAGAAACTCTGAATAGTAGTTATTTGGAAAGTAGCGTTTGCGAACTTCGTGGAAAGATGATAATAAGTACACAAAATGGCAAAGACGCAGCTGTAAATTTGCAATAATTTTGTTTATTACCATAAATGAATAAAAAAATGAACAAACAAAAATAAATAAAACAAATAAATTTTCCAAAAATATCCTGTAATGTATCGTTTATGCATCAGATTATTTTAGAAATAATAGCTAAGATAACTGACATAAAGTATCAGTCAAAAGTATGGAAAGAATAATTTCACAATTAAAAAATATACAAATGTATTATTATGACACAAGTTGCGAAAACAAGCTATTGATTAAAAACAATAGATGTTTAAAATAATTGATTGAAGATTGAAGATATCCTTATCCACCACAAGCCTTGTTGATTTCCATCGTATATAGATTTTCCGTGCTAAACTTGCATATATATAGCTACCAAAAGCTACATGTTGACGATTTCATGCATTTCAAAAATTTCTAAGCCAGCCTTTGCTTGTTGAAAAGAAATGTTGCTAGAATACTCATTTCAGCATCATTTGAATTTTTTAACTATCATTTCAAAAATTATTACTTAACTTCCAAACGTAAACAAGTTCAACGGGAAGGAGAAAATGTGTACCTGATCTTTGATTCATGTATTCAAACTCTTATAGCTTTTTCATATTATTATCCAAACATAACTTTATGATATTAACAAAATACAGTACATTCTAAATCTATTGAATTCTTCTACGCATTTTTTATTTTTTGAACAATGTCTACTAAAACAACAAACGATTTTATAGTAATCAATTCAATCCAATAAGTTTAAATGAAATGCAAGAAAAAAATGCGTATAATTTAATATTTCGTACAAGGAAGTTATGTGCTGTACACATCAGTTTTTTTTTGCAAAGTACTTACTGAATGGTTTATCGCAACAAATAATAGGGGACAAAATGGTTACTTAATAACATAAGAATATAAAGCGATTCAACTGCCCATGCATGTGGGCCGAACTTCCCAATGGTGCATTACAAAAGCATTTCCTTTTCGCTCACTAGGGGTTTTGACGACAAACGTATCCCTGGTGTTTATAAACATTTCTAATAAACCGTCAACTCTCCTTATAAAGAGTTTTATGAAGATAATGAATAATTCATTGCATAATAAGCATTTATAAGCTTGACTATAAAAATAACGTTTAGTTTTAGGTTATTTCCTTCAAATTTATGATATGCAGGAAGTCATTTTACTGCCGTTGTAAATTCAAAAATGTTGAGCCCTTGGGACAATATTCAGTATTATTTATTTTTATATACTAGCTTTAGGTAAAGTCTGTGTAATATTTCATGGTAAAATCTGATGCGTACACCATATGACTTCTTTGTACGGAATATAAAATTTATGCATTTATGTATTAAATTAAATATTAAATGTATTTTTTATTGCCTTCCACTTATTGGATTGAATTAAATTTCCTTCATCGAAAACGCCTCAACCACAATAGAATCAATGCACTCTTTAAAATTCACTATATTGGTTTACCATAGTGACACACTGGCCCTAGGTTCACTTAACAACATTACATTTTATTAATTTATAAAAGATTTATTCATGTA